AGTTAAATTATATAGAAAAAACGCAAGGGGGGAAATAGAAAGTGGCCGTTTGTACAGGTGGTCGCCTTATAGAGGTGGCCGTCAGGGCAGGTTTGACTGTATTTCAAAACACCATCATGTCACAACTTTCAGAATTACCCTTATTGTAATTATTGTTTGACACAGTAACGTTACTTTCAAAATTAATCTATTGCAAAAAATTTAAGTCATCTAGGTCTAATACTTTAATTCTTATGATTGTTTCAAAATTGGCATGAATTTAATTTTAAATTTTTCCAAAAATTTCCAGAGACGTGACAGATCTAGAATGAAATTAACAACAACAACAAAATCAAAAGTTCAAAGTGTTCTGTTTTAATTTGTATCCATGCGCGAGTGTTTGGTGAAAATATAAAAGCTGGTCTGTGCATTTATTCAGACCCATACACTGAATTACATTGACATGTGTAGGGAACGAAGTTGTGATTTCGTCGCGGAAATGGCGGAAACAACACCACCAGTACTTTGTGCTAGATCTAGCCCTAAAACTACGACTTGGGCTGTGTTTGGGTACATATCTAGGATCCTACCTATCAGACACATCCTATCCTGAGTCACTAGAACTAGCAAAACGAACAAGAGTATTGAAAACAGCGAAATTATTATGTGATTCTTGTTCATGTCATGCGACCGTTACTTCAACGCGACTGTCGGATTACTATCAGCTATAAAGAAAAAAACATAGCGCGAGTTCCGGTCAGGCCAACCCCATATGAGGTGACTGTCCTTCCCCTTCAATTACTTAAAAAGTTACCACGAAACTTCCGCCAAACTCAGCACGAAACGAAACAAGTGACAAAACTAGCACTGGAGTCCGTTCCTGTACATAGGCCTCTATATGTGACAGGACCACAAGATACGGAACAAAATCGCAAAGTCCATTCCGTCGGGCAAACGGGAATCGTACCTTCGAACCGACCGCCCGCCCTGTACCTGTGACGGGAACCGTAGTCAGTGAGTTAAGTGTCAGCTAATCTAGATCTAGCTGGCTGCGAGTAGGAGCCAGAGGAGAGAGAGTAGAGTCAGTAGAGAGAGAGTTCTGAGCGAAGAACAGAATTTGGGGTAAAAGTAACCCTTTCAGATCATGCAAAAGGGTACACAATATCTGTGGAAGAAAACAGAAAACTGCATGCAATGAAACTGAATAGACTGCCTCCACTTTGAACTAATAATACCATCTGCTGGGACTGGGGAAACCCGAAAGTTGTTGTTTTACCTCTTCGTTGTCCTTGTCAGTGTTCTCGAACCGCTCAGTAAGCCTCTTCAGTTCATCCGATTTTTCCATCGGCTCAACGGTAGCACCAATACCTTTATCTTTTTTGGATGTGGATATCAATGCTACTTGTTTTAAAGTTGGAACAACTACAATACGAGGACTCTGAATACCAGAAAGGTTACGAAAATGCCGACCTTGTCGGCATAACGACCTCAGTACCACCGCCATCTTGAACGATGTAGAACTCTTCAATGTTTGGGAATTGGGAATAGAGTACAACCATCATGCCGTGCTCTGCACTTGTGAACAGAGCCGTAGACGTGGTCACCCAGCTCCAGCTGTACCATAGCCTAATAGGCCTAATGTGTACATGTATATGAACGCAATCATCAATACGTCTTTATCTTAGTTTTTTAACAGAATCTAAAAACCAGGATATTCAATCTGTGTTTTGCCGGTGTATAGCTTTTAAGAGTAATCTTTGAACTAAGAATCTATATAAAATAAGAAGCTCGCCTCTCTCAACACCCCCCCCCCCCCTTTTCCCAAAGTCAAAGCTCTGCTGATGACCAACCTCCAGTAATGCTATACATGTTGATAAACAGCGTAATGCATTTTACAAAAGAAAGAAAAATCCATTAAGAAAATGTTATTCTGTTATTGTGGCCCAAGCTTGGAAAAGTACGGAAAAGAAGGATTTTTTTTTTCAGTTTACCCAACTTGATCTACGGCGAATAACGCAGGATATTTTTGTATCATCATCATCATCATCATCATCATCATCATCATCATCATCATCATCATCAT